ACAGGAAAAAACGAAGAACTGTCGGTGACAAAGAGAAAACTAATGCGTATATGAAAGAATATAGGAAAAAGGGACCTGATAGAAATAGAAAAAAAATTTACAATGCTCACACGAAAAAATATAGAGCTAGGAAACGACCATTTGCCTCAAGTGAACTGTACAATGAAACAGTTTCCAGTGATGTAAATGGACAAGCAAGTATGTGTTGTGAAAATCAACACAAACAGGCAAACTGTTTGAAAGTCATGAATTCATGACTAATTGCTTTTAAGAGATAACTTAACTGTGGACACTTTTTTTGTTTCGAGTTTCAACCAAAGGAAATACCCACTACCAAAATTATAGGCATAATCTCTGCACTTAATATGAATCAGATGATTGCAATAAAAGCCAAACTACTACAAAAAGGTGGCAAGAGGAAAGTCAAAACTGATGATGGAGAAAAATTCCTTGTCAACGCCAACCTTGGTGACCCTTCTGGCACAATAAGGGTAACCTTACGGGATCGATTTTGTGATTTGGAAGAAAGGAAAACCTATCCATTTGATAATCTTCTTGTAAGAGGAGAATACAAAACCAAAAATATAATCTTAGTAACACCCAAAACTGGGTGCAAAGCTGTAGAGAATACACCGTTCAAAGAGAATATGATTCAACCCTCTGAACAACCCAAGTCATTTACAACAACTACTACACCTGCAGAAATACTTGGAGTTCACTTATTCACTGCATATCACGCATACTGCCAATGCAAATAGGTCACTCCCGGAAAAATCCACAGTTGTTACTTGTAACGCGTGTGGCCTAGAGCAGAAAGTGAAGTCAACCACCCGACAGTGTCACATTCAGTTGTACATAGAAGTCAATGCAACAGAAGTAACAGGAACACTTTTTCATGAATCAAAAACCTGCTGACATCCTAAGGGAAGCAAGATCTGCTCATGAAGGAAGATAACATCTCTCTTCCTTGAGCTTCCAACAGTGAGCAGCAGTAAATACTATACCAAGACAAAAATTGTAGTGGCAATTTCGATCAAAAGTCTAAAAGCAGTGAAACAATTTACAATTATGGATATGGTTTCTACAGATATTTGCCACTCCAAAAACTACAAGGAGAATACAGTAGAGTAACAGTTTGTATTCTGTAAAGGTTACGAGAACCCCTTCTAGTTTAACAAAAGCGTTTTGTGCTCTATAACTGTTATTGAAAATTTATAAACCCAACAAAAAAGAATTTTAATTCCGATATAAGTATTACATATTTCCATATTTACCCCTTGCAGATCTTCGAAGTAGTCACATGTGCCTTTTTCATATTGCTTGTCAGGACCGATTTTTTCCTTTAGCATATTTATTTGTGTCAGAACGTCTAGGTCTGTGAAAAAAGTCCTCATCATGTTTTATTTAGTGCATATTAGAAGAGTTTAATGTACGGCCAGTAACATATTTTGATCCTTTTTTCACTCCTTTTGTTTTTCGTAGAACGGTGGCAGCCTGCATGAATGTTTGCAGTTGCAGATGGACAATTGCTAAAGGGGATGAAGAACCGATACTTAGTGGATTTTTCCGCCTATTTCATAAAGATGAAGATATTCGAGGAGGTAAATGACATTTTGCATTTTCTACAAAGTGTGACTGTATCTCTTGGTGTAACTTTCTGGCTTGTAGTTTGGTTTTTCTCAACTGCTTTCGAGTATCTAAAAGAGATTGTTATTCTTTTAATAGATCTAAATTTCTTTCATTATGGTCGGGCATCTTCATGATCACCCATAAAGATGTTGATCAGGTAACAAATGATGAGGATACTGAAAATAAATCCTAACTTTACTATAATCATAACCATTACTGATGTATGATAACTTTGGTTTTCTCTTAAAGGTGTTCAGCAGAATTACAGTAAAACTCAACAAAAGAAACGCCTCAACGCTGCTTGAGCTACAAAATGTAATCAAGGGGGCATACAACCCAATGCTAGAGTGTCAAGAACTCAAGGTGGTATTTGAAATCTCTAGATGCATCGGAGAGCTCATCCTCCCCATGAAAAACCATGTTTACCCCCGTGCCTTCAGGTTTTATTTGGTTTTGCCAAGGGTGACTCTGGAATCTGCGAGAAAGATAAAAATACACCAAAATCTCTTAAAATTAACACATATGTCAAACTTAAAGGCAGTCTGCTGAACGAATACTCACCAATTTCTTCTTTGCCCTTGCTGGGCGTGTTGGCAGGTTGCTCTCTGTGAAAGTTTGCTGGACCTCCTCTTCTAGTGGGTAGCAATCCACATCTGTTTTTCCCCTGATCAACTTCGCTTTCTGTCCCTCTTTAAGCAGGGACGGATTGATTAATGTTGAACGGTAAACGTCCGAATACTGTCCACGCTTCCAGATGATTCTAGCAACTTCGTTTCCTATGATAGATTTTCAATTCTAATGGTGGTAATAAAAGCGGCTAAAGCAGACGATTTTGGACTTTCATACTTCCCTTACGGCTAAGTCGGATCGAAAAGTCTGTATTCTGATTGGCCTTTTTTAGTTTACATTATCATGCAAACTACCTTGTCGTTTGCAACTTAAGGTTGACAATAATTAAGTTTGCGTCCTTTCGTGTGCCTGTTGTTGTTGAAATAGTTCTAATGACAATAGACACGCGTAGGCTTTGTCTGGTCAAAGTATTTTTCCAAGCCTTTATTCCTTGATAGTTTTGTTTCAGGTCCTTCAAATTAAAAAAATAAGACATGCTTGTTGATAATTCTAAACTCGCCCGTTAATAATTATTATTATTATTGTTATTGGAAGATAATCGAAAGCAGTTTTCCTGCTTCACGATGAAATTAATTTCTAACCCCGGAGAAAAGGTGGTGTGTGAAACTAATATATTCAAAGTTTGATCCGTTTGCCAGCAGAGATCCCCAGAGGAAACCAAGTCGCTTTCTGAAAAATTTCACCGCGTTTGTGTGCACTTTTAATTTCACACCCTTAAAACCAAAAATAAGTTTAACATTAGGATCTAACCTTACGTATGATGTAAATTTCATTCGATTTGATTACGAATCGCGTTCATAAGAATGAAACTCGTGCTACAGGTCACGTTGTCATTCTTTGCAATTAACACAATAGGACGTTAAGTCCGTTTCTGTAAACTTCGCTGTATTTATAAGCTCTTTTAATGTCGCAATATACTAATATAATATACTCTCATTCTATGCAAGTTAAGTACGATTCAATAAACGTCGGCGAAAATCAGTTGGCGAAAATCACTCGACGAAAATTACTCCGTTTTCCCTTTGGGCAAACTGATAGTAATCTTGATATCAACATGTTTTGTTTCATTAAACGGTTAGCGTTCCATTCTGAGAGCCTACACATAGCTTGAGTCCTTTTCCCTCTCCTTTTTTCCCTTTTCGTTTTGCTTTACGTAAATTGATCACCAGAGGACAGCTTGCACTCACATGGACGTATGCGTCGGGTCACTGTCCTGCATGAACTGGTGCTCGGGAAGTTTATTTCTAATAAATGGAACGAGCGTCGTCTCAAGAACATTGCGTAGAGATCAGCATCCATGATGCCATCAAAGATGCAAAACCTGGTGGCACCACGTCTACTGATTCCCCCCCACACATGAACTTTGAGTGGATGCTTCGGGCGGTTTCGGCTTGCGCTTTGTGGGTTTGTCCGCCATTCTGAAGCACCTGCGACTATGAGATTGGAGGGAGATCGAGCACTCGTTGCTGAAAATCATGTTCTGGAAAGTGTCGCCACTTGGCTTTCTTGGCGTCAGAAATCAGCAGGCAATAGACAGTCAGCTGCAGACTCCAGCCTTGCTGCTTTCGCGATCTTCGCGCCGTGGACGAACTAGCGAGAATCCCACGTACGTTTGTTAAGCTTAACTTCCTCATACAACAACACATCAAACTCCCCTCTTGTAGTCGAGACTCCGCGCGGGGAAGCGTGACTTGAACTATTCGCAAACAACGCATGGTAAACCAACGCTACGTTTACAATACTGTCATTCATTCATTGATTTCTTTGCACACTGGTAGTTATTAAACCAAAAATTCCAAGCTATACGAGAACTCGAATCGAGCTGCTGTATAACCAAGGCTTCCATCCAGATGGAATATTCAAGAGCTTGAAAATCGAAGAGTTACTGGGAGCATTTCAGGCATCACTCACTTAATCAATAGGCTCCATAGAAATTTTAACTCGCTCGGGGAGTCCGAAGAAGCTGTCTCTAAAAGCAAGAGCTTTCATAGATCAACAGATGCGTAGAAATGACGAGACGACTAGCGCGAAGATTCGAAAGAAGCTGGCACTACGTGGGATTCTCGTTAGTTCGTCCACATGGTGCGAAGATCGCGAAAGCTGAGCAATTCAATATCGTATTTTGCGACTAGTTCGAATACGCGTGGTCTTAGTTGTTACGGTATAATCGTACCGACAGAAAAACGCTACAATTCTACAAACTCAACTACTTTAATAAACAGCGAGTAATGTTCTTAACAAGGAGCGAATCTTTAAAGGAGCACAATACTTATCGTTAATAAACTTAATGAGATGTTCTGGAAAGCTCTACGATGTGCAAGTCGGCATGACTCAATAGTCTGGGCATTTCTAGAAGCAACAAAAATTACCCATAACATCAGTCAATTATGCAACTCACTTCAGATTTATTGTTCTCTCCAAGGAAAATGAAAAAAGATCAGTCGAACAATAAGGAAGGTTTTCTTCAGGGTTGACCGGGGCTTGGTCTGTCTCACTTACGAAGTAAATTTTCGAATCTTCTTTAGCACCATCCAAACTTCCCGCGTTTATGACGGAATTCAGACTTTTTCATGGGTGAATGTAATCTACGAAAACTATAGAAACATTTGGATACCATATCTGCCTTTGAGTGACTCTTAAAAGGAATTCCTTTCCTTCTCATCTGATTGAAAAAAAGAATAAGGTTATAAAGACAATTTTACGTCACTAAAACCTCGAGACCACACTTGAGTAAAGTAAACGTACAAAGTTAAGTAAATTTATTAAAGCCACAAGGTTTTACAAGCTTCTACTTATCGGTGATTTTTCAATATCACACGCAAGAAATTAATTAAGTTGTCGCAAATTTTTCCGCAAAATAATATGAAGGCCTCTTTCATCTTTATTTGAAAAGTCGAGGCGGCAGAATCCAAAATCGTGAGATTTTGCAGAGCGTGAACCACGACAGGATTGATGATTTAGAGGGCTTATAATTTTTTGTGGCCTTGTCTGACACACGGAACTCACGGATGCATGTATCTTTGTTGCAAGAGGTTTCACCCTTATCTTTTACCCCAAACATGTTTCTAACCTTAACGTAGTAACTAGTAATTTGATAAGTAGATCAGTTAGCGTTTGGTAGTTCTCTTAACGTAAAATGTGCAACCTTAAAATAACGGCTGGCAGAAGGAGGTTTACACAAATTGAAAGTTAGGCTTGCTCCAAAAAATGGCTATTGTTAATATTGAGTAGTTGAGAAAAATATTAAGAATCTAAGTGACCATGAAGATTTTTTTAGCAGAACTCCAACATGGCTTGTTCTTCGCGCTTAAACCTCTTCGAAAAATTGAAATGTAAATGGTACGTAGGAATTTGATTGTGCTTAGTCGGGCCCCCCGTCGTAAAAGTTGGGTCGTGTTGTTTTGGTGGTAGGCTACGTTGACGCCATAGAAACTGAAGGCAAGTTAGTATATCACTATTACAGACTAAGTCTTTGAAAAAAGTAATTACTTCAATTAATTGCAGTCAGAAGTGGCCAAACGGACCGTATGGTCAATAACTAGAACTGTTCAGTTCTCAATCTGAACTAACTGGTTCCGGCGGAATCAGGCCTGTGCTCTTAGTGTGAGCAGTCAATTTCCTGTTCGGTAATGACTCCTTATGCGCAGTTTAAGAGGCACCTATTACCTACGACGGTGATAATTTGAGAGAGCGTAACTTGTTCATCTGCAAGAGCCATGTAGCGACTAGAATTTGCATTTCCGTTTATCGTCAAGTAGCTGTGAAATTATTTTATATTGTTTTCTCTTTCAATTAAACTACTGTTGTATGTTGTGTTTCTACTCCAGTGAGTTCGCGTTTTTGCGTGAGGGTGCGTCAGAGCTACGTAACACCGGTAGCGTTTTATTTCTCGTCAGTATAACGCGTTGTTTTCGTTAGATACTTTTCATTGCTAGTTGATTTCAAGAGTGACATCAAGGAAACTGTAGAATTTGCTGCACCTGAGCGGATTTCTGCGGAAAAAAGAAAAAAACCCGTTACCATTTGGTAAAAAGAATAACAAAACAAGAAAAACCGTCTTTTTTAAAAATAATTTTAAAAATAATGTCTTTTGGGCAAATGAAACTAGATTTCCCCTCACTGGCTATAGAAAAACTGAGGTATGCTGCATTTTCGCTAAATTGTGCACTTTTTTGTTCTGTTACTTCTTCCACTTCCAATTTATGTTACGATAGCTGGAGCTCACGAAGTTTATTTTTTCCGAGGTAAATTCTCTCCCTGATAAAGCACAGAAAGTCAGAAATGAGTACAAAGAACTTATCCAAGCCTGAGGAAGGAGGTTCGGATTCAACGCAGTAAAGAAAGGCATTAGGGATTTACCCGAAATCAATTTTTAAGGCAATTTTTGCCGTGAAAGGATACCCAGTATCACTAAAAGAATACGAATCGCACGATTAATTTTTGACACACCAGCATATGTTAATCATATGACGCGAAATAACAAGTGTTAGGGGAAATTGGATTCCACAGTTCCTCTTATGTTGCTTGAAGTCCAGTTGCCGCAGATCCCTAATGCCAAGAACTTAATGGCTGATTTCTGCCCTTCTGTTAGCCAAGTGAATGCTCAAAGTTAGTCCCACCCCAATTTGGTAGAACAGTTTCGTACATTCCGTTCTCTTCCGTCCCAGCACTGTCCAAACGAATAATGACACAAGTCACTGCTTCCCTCTACAAACGCAGTTTCATCGAGTTGAAACTTGAAACATACTTTTTTTTACAATTGATCAAGTTATAGTGGCACCCAACTCAAGCATACATGTAAATTTGTTTTGGAGTGCGTGAATATTGACATCAATTTCTGCCTCAGTCTCCCTGTTGATAGGTTCATTTTGTCTTTCTCATCTATTATCTGCTTCTTTCGTTGTTGCCCTGAGGACTTGCAAAAAATATATATTCGCGTAACACGAATCACACTCAGGATGATTAAACGGTTACGCCCTGCCCAATAAAGCTGACATAGTAAAATGTTTGCAAACCTCTAACATAAAGTGCACTTGACGTTTGTACACTCTCAGACTTCCGCGGCAGTAAAGGACCGAGGTTAAGTATAAGCAAAAATTTTTCCCCCGGTAAAACAAAGATGATATCTTCCTTTTTGATGAAAAACTGGTATAGCTTTCATACATACCCACATTAGTATAGCGCGTTCCTTTCACAACAACGCTTGAGTTGCCGTAGGCCCAGACTTCAATAACTACTTTAAGTGGTCTCTTTTTGGTATCACGCTTGAAGAGTAAACTGCTGTAAGGAATCTCCACAGAAGTATTGGTACCAGCCCCAAGTAGAGAATTTTCCTTCAAGAAGTTAGTCTCAGGTAACCTGAGGAGGTAATCACTTGCTCCTTGTACTTCTTCCCACACAAATTTGACGCCATCGGTCAGAACTATCTTGGTGTCATTTATGTAAGGTTTTGAAACTAACAAGAAAGATAACTGTTATGAAAGGTATTTTGTGGTCATGGCAAACTGAAAATGCAAAGCGATATAGTGATAGGAGGGGTGTAGAAAATCGTGATCAACATCAGTCTGAAGTTCATACATTCTAATGATATACATGGACAGACAAATAATCAACACGAGCTAAACAATCAAGGGGATGTAGTAAAAGAAGCCCCGGGAAAATGAAAAAAAAAATACAACGATATAGTGAGCGAGACCATCACGTGTATAGATGATACAACCAAAAAGTAGAGAATGGAAACAAAATTACGGATGAAAGCTTACTAAAGAGCGAGAGAAACTTAGGATTTCCAATTCCCTTGAAGAGCATTTTCCTTAACCTACGGAGCATCTCGAATGCCTTTCTAGATCTTTACACCTATTCTAGCGAAGAAAAGAAACTGTAGATCGTTTGTAGATTTTGTTTTTTGTACGGTGTAAAATCACCATGTTTTCGATAATTTCAAAATTTCCTTTTTTCAGCTCAGCCTAGTCATCAAAAAATATTGACCGAACTTCTAAAGGAGACCTCGTACAAACCTAATTGAAGTCTAAGACGTTTGGCCTCTACCACGATTTCAAATATTCTTTCGGTAAACGAGTTTTCAGAACTTGCGCACATTGAGAAAATCAGAAGTTTCTTGTGATCAGACTGCCAGGTGGTGTCTCAAACAGCCTAACTGCTTTGTAATCAGAGATAATCGCCTTATACGAAAATAAAGAGTACATTCAATGCCAGTGATTCTGAAATTAGTTTGCTTTTGAAGTGGATGATTTATTCTGGGCTAGTGAAAAAGTTCTTGGTTCAAACTTTTTTAAGCGTCGAAAATATAGTGATTGCATAATAAGCCCAAAGGGAGATATTCGTCATCTAGAATCACTGAATCACTAGATTCACTGAAAAATACGAAATAAACGTCTTAAACCTTTATAAAGACTGCTGTGACTGACTGCTAGGAATTAAGTCCTTTTTTTACATATTTCTTCTTTTTCCTTTTTTTTTTGCATAATTCTGTACCGACATTTATATTGCCTGAACAATTTTTTAAGTGTATAGGCCTCGCCTTTGGTCAGCCAGAGACAAGGCCAGGTGTTGCTGTAAGAAGCCTCAATTTGTGAAATACCAGTTGTACTTAAATCTCAAGATGGTTTTTCCTGTAGTATTCATTTCTCCCTGGAGAGGAGGTGATGCACGTTGTACTTACTTCTCTTACGAATGGTAATGTTAGTTGTAAGGACATTCTTTTCCAGACTCCTTGCAATGCACCTGTAGCGTCCAAAGTCATTCTCAGTCTTGATTGTGACATGCAAAATAGTGCTTCCTGTTTCAATCAGAGTTCCATTAGGCAGTTCCCAGCTAACTTGAGGAGGTGGAAACTCCTGGAAAGGAGAGCACAATTGGACAGATTCCCCAATGGTTGCATCAAAACTTGTGGGACACAAATCAGGATCCTCGTGCGACGCTGGATCTTGAAAGAGAGTAAAGAAACCTCTTTCAAACACGTTTTTTCGCAAATCATCCCTCACATTTTGCCTTAACGTACCCCTTGATGTACTTCAATTTTATTTCAAATACACCATGAACAATTTCAGCTCTTCTTAAAATAAAATGGCAATCCTTGTTCAGACGCGCATCCATGTGCAGATGCACATCCAGGTACAGAGATGGACACGACTGCACCTACGGGTAGGTACGCATCTACGGACTCAAGTGCAACATGGACACAGGTGCACCAATGGACAGGGTGCACCTACGGACAATAGTGCACATAAGGACAAAGGTGCACCTGGACATGAATACACCTAAGGACACAAATGCAACTATGGACATGAGTGCACCTGTGGAAACGGGTGCAGCTATGGACTTGGGTACTACTGTGGTATAGATGTAAAGTATTGCAGTAAAAAAGCAATGTGGTGTAAAATGGTCAGAACTTGTGACAAAAAAGGGACTTGGTTAGAACAGAGTTTGTAGACAAGCCAACTGACCGCCAGGGATAGGACAGAAATTATAAGAATGGGTACACGTATGAAAATAATGGGCATCATAATGAAAATAATGGGCATAGTATTTCTAAAACACAGAACTTTTTAACTTGGCACGCTCTGCGTACCTAGCGCAATTAATAACCTACTCCTCTCTAGTTGGAAGATTTTAGGTTCGAGCCATGGCCATGTCAACATCTTTTTGGTCTTTTCCTTTTCTTTTTCCTTTTTCCTTTCAATTTACAATTCTCTTCAGAGGATACGTTAGATATGTTTAGAGTAAAACACACAAAGAAAAAACGTTCAACGACTCACCTTTTATACTTAAATTGATAACAATGTCGAAATGCAGAGACAAGGGCCCGACAAAACCAAAAATTATCTATTTGACTAAAAGGAGGGTTTCAAGATATAGAGCCATCAACCAATATTTTTGTGATTAAGAGGGCAAAACTGTAATTTCCCAGTACTGGCTTCTGGATTAAGGTTGCATTAATGAGGCTATTTTAGCTTACACAGGGGTTTCTACATGTTAAGATGTAACTTACATACAACTCCAAGGAAGGCTCTTGCAGTACCAGATACGTAGTTTGAAGCTTTGCAGATATAATAGCCTGAGTCTACGGTTGAAGTATTCTGCACGATCAACTGAGATGAACCATTATGAGAGTTGATTTGGACATTGACACTGCTGGCAGAAATCTCACTTTCACCCGAACTAGTCTGCTTCATCCATACAATGTTTGGCAAAGGAAAACCGTACGCGTTACAGGTGAAATTTGCTGTAACATCTCTCAAAGTGGACAGTACAGGTGGGATAATCTCAACAACAGGAGGACCTAAAAGGAAAACAAAAGGATTATAATGAAGGAACTCATCCAGCTTGTTTTTTATCCACATGTCATAACAGTGAAAGTGAGGGAGGGTTTGAAACATTCAGTAGCTGTGATGTGTTACATGTGTGCAAACTAAAATGTATCAAAAGATTTATAACTAGGATTTTTAAGATTTTGCTCCTGAAACAAACACAACTCACCCTCCCATATATGCAAACCTAGAATACCATGCCAGCCAGTGGTTCCTCATGGGAGGTGACTAGTAATTTAGCTAAATTCCTCATTTTCCAAAAAGGTCACAGTTTCCAATGAAAAGTTTAGTAACATGTTAAAATGCACAGGTTATTTACAAAAACATATTTTCAAACTGGATTCTTTAGCCTGCCAAAGTGTGAATAGCCAATTGTAGTGTCACCCTTAATGAGTAAGAAGGGGTTTTTGCAGCAAAACATCCTGGCTATTGAATTATAATTCCAGAAATATCTGATTCAAGTTGCACAAGGTAATCTTTGCTATCTATCTGCATATAGAACTAGACTGTAAGTGAGGAAAGATAAAAAGGAGAGGAGTACTAGGATGGAAGTAAGAAAGAAGCCTGGCACTGAGCACAAGAAATTAAAGAAATTTGATAAGGACAGGCAATTAAAAAATTCTAACTGAAACAGATAGGGGCTCGTGGTTTAAGCAATCATTGCCGCTTACAACTGACCAACAACCCTTAGCAAGTTCTGTCACAGTGTGCTGAAGCCCCTTTTTAAGAAAAAAAAATCAAATTATCAGTCAGTGAAATTCAACTAAAGGTCTGCCAAAGGCAAAAAATGTTTTGCTGCAAGTCTCCTGAGATTCCATTGGACACCTGGTTTCTATTGGTATAGCCATTTCCAGTTTTTAGCAAGTTGACATAAATTGGCATCAGTGGTCTCCAAAAGGAGTGATATGTTGGTCCATAGACTCCCTAGGTATACGCCTAACAGCTGTCTGAGTTTGCTTGGGCATAGATCACAAAGATTATGAATAACAAAGTAATGCAGCTGTAAAATTTAATACTCCAAAAATTGAAGATACATGAGTTCTAAATCGCACCATCATGAGCTGCATGTGAAAAACAGCATGTTGCCAAACACTTCAGGAATTAAAAATACTGATAGTTTCACAACATGACATATAATTCCACATCTGTCAGCAAAGTACCAGAAGGCACAGATAATGGAAATTTGACAAATGATATCAGCAAGAGAGCTCAAATTACTTACTATGTTGAGATAAATTAGTTGTGAAGCATAAGAAATGTATTATCTCCAAACTCTCTAACTCAACTGTTAGGTACAAAAGTACTCATAACTCAGCTTGCCATAGTCTGCACCCCATAAAATCCACCCTGCATCAACTTAACAATAAGAGGAGGAACTGAACCTATTTGTAGCACCATTGATCAACTTTCTGCTGGGAAATTGTACTATATTTCTCTGCATTTCTTGCACAAAGTGAAAGCCATGTTTACATGTGATGAAGAACCCGATGCATTATGGTATTTTTGTCCCTTCATTACATGAGACCCCAACAGATTTCTTCTTAATATACATATCACTACTGTAAATTAAGACAATCTACGAATTGTGAGACATTGTTGTTTGATGCATGTTTGTTTAGATGCAACACAACCAGTAACCAAATTGATCAGGAATTTAATATTCATTTGAATTGTATGCACTGAGCCTTAAGCATAGTTCTTACAAATGCCTCTGTTAGCTGAAAAAATCATTGTAAAAAGTGCTTATTCACAATTAACTTACTCCAAAACAGCCGTGAAAGGTAAAATTACTGCAGCATTAGTGAACTCTTATGATTCCAGAAGAGAATCTCTTCAACCTTTAGTGTCCATAACTTAAAATTACCCATCAATATAGGTTTGTTTGTTCAAAATATAGCAAGAGGGAACTCAATCGATCCCTAAACTAGAGTATTCTAATCTGTTTTGATGTGTTCCAAGCCATACATTTACATGAGGTTCGAAGTCCAAGATAGCAGATGATTGAAATTGTTAGAATTAGTGTTTTGATGCTCATGCCCTACTGTGACATGGTCCCTACTGTGACATGGTCCCTTCAATACAGGTTCCACAGAATAGAGTATCACAAAGAAATGATAAAAGTGTCACTTTATGCCATAATTGACCACTTAACCCTTTAACTCCCAGCAGTGATCAACAAGTAACTTCTCCCTTCTCCCTGGCAAACGGTTAATAAGAATACTCAAACTTATCCAGTCAAAGTTTTTATCTTGATCTGAAACCAAATTCTTGTAACTTATTTACAAGGAAATGTGTAGCAGCCAGAGAGGAGAATTAGCAGTCAGATCTTGGGAGTTAAAGGGTTAATGTACAAAAACTTACTTAATCATACTACCAAAATATTGATTTCAGGAGATTATGGATTAAATTTTGCATGAAAGATTATTTTTAGTTTAATTTGAGTGGTTCTGCTGTAAGTGACTATTCAACACAGGTGGAAGACAATACAGACAGGCTGTCAGGACTCAGTTAAGGGTGACAATGACTGCTTTGAGAAGAGGTGACTGCATAATAGAGATGAAAATTGCTGTAATTATGAGGAACAAATTTTTGGACTTTGACAACCAACCATTCAATACAGTGCCACTTAATGCAGGTTCGAATTTTATTGGAATATTGGAAAATCTCACAAGGTTTTAAAGACCAACCCCCAGGATTGAAAATTGAACAGAAGTTTTACTTGCATGGCCAGATTTGTTACCCGATTAATTCGCTCTAAGAAACATTGTGCAGTTTGCAATTAGGTCAAGCTAAAACAGAACAATTTTAGCCAAACAATACATTCCACAACCTTTCCATTGATAATATATACTAATATATGGTGGTTATGCTTCTATAGTGCTTTAATGACTTTGTTAGCAAAGGACACCCGTTAGGTAATACCATATCCTTTAAAGAGGTGGTTGCTGATGGAGGTGTGGCAGTGAATACTCTTATTGGGAATCCGTTAACAGAAGCACATAAGTTTCAGTTTCTTTGGTTTGTTCATTTTTTAAATGGTCATCAAAAATTGAAAACCCTCCTAAAGGTCTGGATCAAGAAAACCTTCTCTGCTCTAAAGACTGTGTTTTCATGCATTTACTTTTCCTATTATCAACACTGTAAAGGAGGAAACTGTCATGATGGCTCTCTTAAGGGCAAAGCCACAACATCACTTTTCATTGAACACTTTTTTTTTGTAGCCTGCATTGTAGTTATTTCCTATCAGAATTGTTGAAATTCAATAGCATTACTTGCCCATTTTGAAAATTTATCCTACCTTCCATGATGAAACAACCATTCATCATATAATCAAAAATCTTACCTTTCACAATTAATTGCACCATATCAAACATATCTAGAGCCAAAGGGTTATCTGAGAAAAATCTGAAGAGGAAAACCTGGTTATCAACTGCTTTAATGGGCTTTAGAGTGAACATGACTTGCCCAGGTGAATGTTGATTCCAGCTGCCAAAACGACGGCCATTGTACTGAGATACATTAGGGATGAGACGCCCATTTCTATCAAGGATAAATAGAAGGACATCTAGAGCAATTATTCCCTTCTCTTTCGTTCCCCATTCAACTCTGCGTAAGTTACCAGTGTAGTTCCATGAGAAGTCAAAAGAGGAACCAAGTTTTGCAGTCCTATTGCTTCCACTGTAAGATGATTCGAGTTGTACCGGTTCTGCTGTTAATAAAGAAACAAGACATCAGGTCAAAAACTGCCAACCTTAAAGAAGACTAATTTCTGCTCAGAAGATTTGTATGGAAGTACATGTACTTTTGACACATGTTAAAACCTGTTATAAATAAGGATTCCATGGCAAACTTGAGACTGCTGATGCATTTATGATTTGCAAGGAAGATGTTGCTGCCTTTTTGCTTTATCACATGACCGTACAGCCATTGGCATGCTACTGTAGCATTTGAAGATAACTTGAATGGGGACATGCTAAATAAAGAAGTTCATGTATTTTGTGTATTTATGTTTCAAATCCATGGGTAATATTTATCTACTTTTTTTACTTGTGCTATATTACCAGACACATTCAAGTGACTTAACATAATAGAATTAAATACGATTTAAAAATATTTACCATCATCACGGTACAGAGGAAAAGAGAAGTGAACTAGAAGAAATTTTGAAAACATGTATGTGCACCACATCTCAAACTTTTTTTATTGTGATTTGTTTCACTAAAAGGACAAAAATGAAAAAACAAAAAAAAGGTTTGAAACTATCAGGTGCAACAACTCAATTATTTCACAGTTTTTTTTAACTTGAAAAATTATAGCATATATATAGCATGTATAACATATATATTATATATATAGCTTATATAACCTTCCAGACAACCTGGAAAGAAACTTCTTTCGAGCAGCAGTGGAGACTGTCCTTTTATATGGTTCAGTCTCCTGGACCTTAACAACACATCCAGAAGAGAAAATCGGCAGAGCATACACGAGAATGCTACACACTGCCTTAAACAGAAATGAGTAAAATGAAACGCACTCTTTGGCTGCATGTGCCCACTGCGGTACAGATGTAAATTATTGCAGTAAAAAAAGCAATATGTTGTAAAATGCTGAGGGGTTTATGGACAGCTGGAAATGACAGGGAGCTTTATTAGATAGAAAACGGGGATTCTGGCGCATTTTTGAAAACAACCTTGATTTTAAAGGCAACTTTTGAATTTAACCTTGATTTCAAGTCAACCTTGAATTATTCACAGGTGAATAATACTCACACCCTCTTCACAACTCACGAGTGAGATCTGAAGAGGGTGTGAATATTATAATCTCAAATGACCCTCTCGAACGATTCTCCTGAACGATTCTCTTGAATGATCCTCTTGTCGCGTAATCGGGTGTTGATGGTTTGGGAGACGATTTTTCAAATATCATCGTTGTATCTTCTCGCAAAGAGATCATGCTGTGCCTAGATTAATTCTTCTGTCCAAAACAGTGTCATTGAGAGCAGTCCTTCACGAAAACGATCTCGAACTATTTTTGTGTAATATCCCCATACGAATTCCGCATCTGTTGAA